GCTTTAAGTGCTACTTTACTTCAGTCCCAACAAACATTTGCTGATCCTAACCTTTCCTACACTGCTGCGCAAGCAGGAAGACCTGTATTTTTAATGCTTCCAAAAGGTAATTACTTCCCTCCAAATAAGCTAGTTAATGCGATCAGCATGTTCCACTTGTTGCTGAAAATTGAATGTAGGGTTTAAATGGAATCCAGCATTGTAAAACATGAAGTGGCAATACCTTTCTGAAGTATACATTCACATAAGCCATTGCTAGGAATCTGCATTCATTTAATATGGAATTTACAAGGCTCCCAGGTACATCAAGCGTGACTATTTTCCAAGTACTGAAAAACCAGATGGCAAGCAACTCCTGGCTTTGTCAGCACTACAGGAAGTGCTTCCCCAAGTACTGGCTGCACATGATCTCACCAGAGCATCTACAAACGCCGCTCTGCATCCTTCCTTGCATTTCCCATTGAGCCTGTGCACATTTGGCAGATTGTTAAATAAGGACTAGAAATGCCCAAGCACTCAGCAAAACAGAAACTTCAATAGCAGCTGCACATGCAGGGTGTTTTGCTGGTGACAGCCAAAAGCCACCGTTGTCTGGTGCCCAGCACAGGCATGATGCAGGCACTCTGGAGCTCCGGGCTTTGTAACCGACTGGCTCCAATACCTGGGTCAAATCATTTCACCTTTCCCCACCTCCGCCCGATTGGACGGTTTGCTCTTGGGACAAGGACTGCCTCTGACTATCTCTCTTTAAATGCTTAACCAAAGCCTCTCCAAGTGACACTGCAGTACAAATACTAAGAATCCCCTACTGAACGGATGAAGCTGTTTGCATTGGTGCAGTGTTGACATGGTGCTGTTTTATAACAGCTAAATTGACCCAACATTTCCATGCTGTAAGACTGTTTTTGTAAAACCAAACCTTAGCAGAAAGGTTTCTGCACTTAAAAAAAAACCCTGATGAAAACAGCTGCTTTAAAACCAATAATTGTCACTCTCTGTTGTTTGAAATCTTAAGGACTGCAGAGTGACAAGAAAGGGAAAAACTGATCATAAGCAGAAGTAAACCTGACTTTGTTGCTTTCCAGCATCTGTACCCACAGGAAAAGATGAAAAAATAGTGGCAAGTTGGAATCTGAAAATGCTTTTACTTGTGATAATCTGAGAGAGGCGTTTATCTCCAATTTGTACTGCTGAAAAATCTGCCCCCCCTGCTACAGGCACCATAGGAAATCAACACAGTTGTTTGTAACACACAATTTGTATTTGATAATACTGTAATCCAGGCAAAACTCCCACTGGCCTCAATGGGGCCAAGACTTCCCTCAGTGGAGATAACGAAGAGGTGGAAGGAGCAGAGTGACTTTTTTTTTTTTCTTTTTTTTTTTGCTTAGAGTGAGTCTTCAATAGTGCAGTAGAAATGCATTTCTCACAACTAGGGACAATAAAAGCCCTCAAAAGAGGTCAGCCACAAATATTTTAAAGCTCCCCTTCCATGATTTTGACTTTGCAGGTAAAAACAAGGCTTGCTTTGCTCAAGCAGAAGAGCTGCTGCTTTGCTGCAGCGTTTTGCCTTGAGGTAGTTTTCAAAAAGCTGCGGATCTTTGCAGAAGGATAAATTCTCTCATGTGGACCAAAAACAAGCAAAAAAAAAAAAAAGGCAGAGAGGGCAAAACTCTGTGCTGCATTAATCTCATCAGCTCTGGTGGGTAACTCAGGGTCAAATGGAAGTGATGATTGATTCTGGCTACGACCAGATGAGGATGGGAGGAGAAGGAAGATTTTTCTGAACAAGGAGAGAAAAAACAAGTGAGCCAAATTTTTGCCCTCTCACACTAGTGCAGCCCATTGGACTTTGATGGTGAACATCATGGATACCAGAGTCACACCAGGGCCAAGTCCACTCTTCCGTGTTAGGTGCAACTTACTTGAAGTGGAACGGATGAGGAATCTGGTTAAGCTTCCACTGAAAAGATTCCCCATGGGCTTTAAGTGGAAGCTGGGCTGGTCCCCACTGGCACATGCAGACAATGAAATGGAACATATTAAAGGGGGCAGGGAGCTCATCAGCAGTCTCTTCAGTCTAATTTAATCAGACACACTGCAGCAGATTTCCACCCAGAAGTTATTGGGACCCTCTGGACATGAAGCTGCAATTGCTGCTCTATTCTGGGAAGCAGATTCTCACAGCCTGCCTGCGTCACCCACGACACAGAGTTAACAGCTCATTTTTAAACAGCCCTTTGAACAGAATGGCAAAGTCACCATCTGCCTGCAGAGAGGTGCTCACAGTAAAACAGATGCAGTGGTCCCACGGCAAGGCTCTGCTGGTGATCCTGAGCATCAGACGTGTTCATCTGACAACCCCAGAGATGATGTTTCTAACTGCCCATATCACATGGCCCAGCCACTGGGTTTTCTGTGCCTCTCGTTAGCACCAGCAATACACGTGCACATCCACCGGTGAAGCACGGGACAGACTAGAATCCAAGTCACTATTCCACAGCTAAGCTGGTACTCAGGGATGAGTGGGAGAAGGACTGCAACATCACTGCTTGCCATAGTCAGGGTCCCAATGTGTTCTCTGCTTTTGGATGACCCTGTGCCTCCCTTCCTCCTCCTTTCCTTCCCCACATTCACCATATGTCTCCATCACACACTTCTGTATCTTACCCACTTGCTCACAGGTTCCCCTATGGCCACCATCTTTCTTCTCTAGCAATTTTTCCCCTACAAACTTGCCCACACACTCATCTTATTGTCTCCAGTTACCCACATTCCTCATCACCCGGCACTCCCTTCTGATAAACCCTCCGTCGGTGTATTAGTGTCATTCGCAATGACTTGCTTTGGGAGTGAAGGATGCTACAATTCTTTGAAGTCTTGGTCCACTACATCTGATGACTGCAGCCCCATGACTATATCTGAAAAACACCATCTTGGCACATCAAGTCAAAATGCTTCAATTAGATAAGAACAGACTAGGAAAACCACACTGCTGACTACACAACAAGGATTCCTTAAAGTTAGGAATGACTTCAAAAGGGACCACAACATGGGTTTCCCTTTCCTAACTGCTTCCTTGTGAACTCTCTGATCTCCCCAGAGTTGTTTTTTCCTGCCAACATTTACAAGAATGTGACATGACGCAGTGTTCAGATGCAGATCAGGTTTGGGTAGTAGTTTGAGACTGAATTGGTTTACATCTGGCTTCTTATTCAGGTGCACCGAGATCACAGAAGCTGTTCTCATGAGTTTTTAGTCACAAGTGACAATATTTAGACCCCATCAAACGAAAGCCCTAAAAAAGCATCACCTTTCTGGGTTTGACTCTGTTGCAAAGCCAAACTGTAGAGGCAGGGAATTATAATCCTTAAACACAGAGCATCCCCAAATCAAAATGGTGTATGTGTAACAGCAGCACAACTTACAACTGTTTCAAAGCTCATTAAAGCTCAAGGGGAGTCTTTCCAATGATTTCAATTAGCAGGGGAGCAAACTAGCTATGTAAAATGAAAGCTGAGACAAATTGTATTACTTAAAGCTATACAGGTAGGGCCCCCTTTCCTATCTGTGTAAATATCTTATTCAAACATTTTCAGTTACAAGTGAAGAAAACGTGGAGGACCCATCTCATTGCCATACATCTGTTCAGCCGGGTGCACATCCCAGCCTAAAATTCAATCTCTTTCTTTGCATATTTGTTTCTTCTCTGCTGCCTGTTCATGATCTAGGCTCCTCCCAATATTTAGAATACACCATTCAGAACTGATCATTTTCACAACTACAGACCTTGAATTCATAATTTAATCTCATTTTAAAACTTAAAAACCCCTCAAAATTACATATTTGCTGATTAAGATGATCACCTGCCAAGAACACAGTCTACCTAACCAAATCCAACACCACCTGAATCCTCCTTTATCTACTCATTTATGGGCCCCAGGTCCCCTCCCAACAGCCTTATACACTTGCTTAGATATTAAAGCCAGAAGGACCTTGACAGACATTTAAGTCCTACCTCCTACAAAACACAGCCTGCAGGATTTCACCAGCCTTCCTAAATACCCAAATCGGTAGCCTTCTCCCATGGCAAAAAGAGAAGAGTACAAAACCACCTACAGGAAAATGCTTCTCACCTCAAGGGCTTGGAAATTCAGGTCATTTGCTTGTATAGGAATATACAACTTGGAGACAAATCAAAACAAAAACAAACCAACAAGATCAATACTGCTCATTATGTGCACTAACTTCCCCTGCTTATCTTGGTGGCTACTGAACAACCACCATGGTCTCTGATACAGGAAACGTTCAACATCAGATTTACGCAAGAAAAAGAGCCTCCCGAATCCCGCTCCTCTGCTTTCATTCATCCTTGCTCTGTTACCAGGGTTGAGCCAAAAAAAGAAAAAAAAGAGTGATTTGGTTTGACAAGCAGAGCGAATTCACCCTCCCCAGAGCACTCCTACGATCTTGCTTCTTTTCATAAACTGCAAGGGTTGTTTGTTTCACTGCATTTTCAAGGGGTCTGAAGTTTTCCTCCTGACACCAGCTCCAGGCCACCTCCTTTGCCTCCCCGGCGCCAGAGCTCGCTGCAGTGCAGCAGACTGGACAGACAACCTGACCCCCACAAAACCAAGCACTTCTCCGCCGCTGGTTTGTTTCAGGGAACGGCATGACCTTTGTCCCACGTACAAGTGCACGCTTCCATCTGGATGCGCACCCTTTCCCTCGGACTGGCACGCGGCTCTTGCCAACCCAAGGGAACGGCTTTCCTATGCCACTGATGCCAGGGCCCCGCTGTCTGCCCGTGGGCGCACGCCATATCGCTGTCTGCTCGTGGGCGCAAAACAGCTTTGTCCGCACTCAGGGCATCTCACCTGCTCAGCACCCGACACACCCACACCATGGTGCCCCCCAGCACATCCCACCTGCTCCCAGGCCCCAGGGTGGCCCCGGCCCCCCCGAGAGCACCCCACCCTGCCCTGCCCTGCCCCACTCACCTCGTCGCCTTGGCCGAAGCGCAGCCCCAGCGCCACGAAGCGCTCCACGCGCAACAGCCCGTCCGCATCCTCGTCGCACGCGTCGAAGACCTCCCGGAGCCGCCGCCGCAGCAGCCGAGCAGGCCCGCCCGGCTCCATCGCGGCTCAACGGCCGCAACCGC